GGTCCCCAGAACTGCAGTCTTTGCCTGCTTAGGAATGGAGGATGAATGGAGAGTTAACCTGGAGAAGTAACAAAGAAAAGGGTCATCCACATCCTTTCGATGTTTATCTAAAGAGTTCGAGCCTTTCCCTTGTATGACAAGTTTTTAAGCCAAGTGATTCTATACAAAGAGGAGCGCCAACTCCTCTGATGACCTGCTGGCAATGAGCAGGTAAGGGCTGGGGTAGCAGTGCCCTTGTTGGCCATGGGGTGACAGGGTCTGTCCTGAGCTGGGAAAACATGTCCTTTGCAAAGGTGGTAGCTGCAGTGGCCAGCTGTCAAGTGCCCAGTCAATCTCTGGCCTGATTGCAGCCTATGTTTCTCCCTAAAACTGGAAATCTAGAATTTTATGTGACAGGTGATTTAAAAAGTTAACTTGTCATTGGACAAAATATTCTTTGTGATAAATAAACATTGCTAACTGGTCTCATCTCGGGTGACCCAGATCATGTCTCTTTTCCCTTCTTCAAGATCCATTTTCAACACCCTTTCACCACAAAGACTTTTCTGAGCCATGAAGAACTGATGTATTTCTCCCTGAGCACCCCTGTTATAAAATATTATCAGTGTTTCTCAATCCTTTTTGGAATAAAATAACGTATAATTTGCATACAAGAAGAAGCTCCTAGTTATAGTTCAACGAATTTTACTAATATCTACACCCATGTAACTACTCTCCCATCTTCTCAGAGCTCACACAAACTTTTTAGTTCCCCAAAGTCTCTCATGTCTCCTTGTTAATCCCAGCATTAGTCAGCATTGATCTATATTCTTCCTCTTTTTGTTTTACCAGTCTGAGAATTTTATATAAATGGAATGGAATGTTTCTGTTCTTCACTTGACACAATGTGTTTGAGACTCATTCACGTTCCATTCTTCACTAGTTCATTTCTTTTAGTTTTTGTGGAGCATTTCCTTACATGGGAATACATACTAATATTTATGGATTAAGCTAGTCACAAAAATTTGGTGATTTATTATCCTGGGCTCTCAGGAATGAAGCTGCTGTGACCATTTATGCCCTGTCTTTTTGTGCATTCGCTTTTACTTGAGTAAATCCCAAGGAACTGCTCAACTCAATGGTGTATGTCTTTTTTTTAATCTATTGGTTATTTAAAAGTATATTATGGCCAGGTGCAGTGCTACATGCCTGTAATCCCAGACGCTCTGGAGGCTGAGACAGGAGGATCACCAATTCAAAGCCAGCCTCAGCAACAGTGAGGCACTAAGCAACTCAGTGAGACCCTGTCTCCAAATAAAATACAAAATAGGGCTGGGTATGTGACTCAGTAGTTGAGTGCCCCTGAGTTCAATCCCCAGTACCTTGCCCTGCCCAATAATACTACATTATGTAATTATCAAATGTTTGCTAGTTTTGCATGGGTATTTTAGTTATTGGATTTGAGTTTAATTCCCAAAATAGATTTTGTGTGATTTCAATCTTTTAAAATCTGCTGAGAGTTGTTTGGTGTATGCAGTCTATCTATGAAAATATTCCATATGTATTTGAAAATAAAGTGTTCTGCTATTGGGTGAACTGCCTTACAAATGTCAATTAGGTTGTTCTTCACATCTTCTATATCCTTACTGGTTTTCTGCTTACTTGCTCTATTACTTACTGAGATAAGAGAGTTGAAATCTCCAACTATCTTTGTGGATGTAAATGTTTTCCCTTTCATTTCTAACTTTATGTTTCTATATGCTCCAGGTTTTTTGAAGTTCTATTATTATGTGCATATATAAGATTACATATAAATCTCCTGAATTCTACTCTGACATTAAAATAGTCACTCTCGTTTTCTCTTTTCAGGTTTTGCTAAGTGTATCTTTTACCAGCGTTGACTCTGAACTTTAGTTTGATTTATTCATTTATTTATTTATTCTTTCTTTCTAGATACAGGAGAGTATAGTATATTTTGACATATTATTCATACATAGAATAAGTATAACTTTTTCCAATTGGGATCTCTTTATTGTGGTTGTACATGATGTGGAGTTACATCGGTCATTTATTCATATATGAAGGTAGGAAAGTTATGTCCAATTCATTCTACTGCTGTCTTTGTTCTTAAAATGTGTTTTACGTAGACTGAAGATAGTTGGATTTTACTTTTTTATTTTACATGACAGTCTATGACTTTTTAATGAGTGTTTTGACCATTTGCATGTAATGTACTACATGAATACACTATATTAATGCATGTAATGTACTATATATAATTTGATGTATTACAGCAATGTAATTTGGGGTATGGCTTTAGTCTACTGTCTTGCCATTAGTTTCCTATAGGTCCCACTTTTCTTGTTTCTTTTTAGGACTTTATTGACAACCAAGAGTAGCTTCTTAGCTATGTTTCTATAAGTACATCAGTGCTCCAGCATTCACTATAATTTTTTTTTGTAACACAGACTAGTTTTAAATAACATTATATCACATAACAGATATTTAAGAACTGTGCAGTAATATAGTTCCATTTTTTCCCCTCTCAATCTTTGTGTATGAGTAACATACATTTTACTTTTATGTATGAAATTACTTTACAATAATTGGCCACTGTTTTTTTAAAATATATTTATTTATTCTAGTTTGTTATACATGACAGCAGAATGCATTTCACTTCATAGTACACATGTAGAGCACAACTTTTCATGTCTCTGGTTGTACCCAAAGTAGAGTCACACCATTCGTGACTTTATACATATACTTAGGGTAATGATGTCCACATTCCACCATCTTTCCTACTCCCATGTCTACTCCCTTCCCTCCCCTCCCCTTCGATATATCTAAAGTTCCTCCATTCCTTCCATGCTTCCTGCCATTATGGATCAGCATCCACATATCAAAGAAAACATCCAGCCTTTGGTTTTCTGGGATTGGCTTACTTCACTTAGCATGATATTCTCCCACTCCATCAATTTACCTGCATATGCCATGATTTTATTATCTTTTAAGGCTGAGTAATATTCCATTGTGTATATATACCACAGTTTCTTTATCCATTCATCTATTGAAGGGCAGCTAGGTTAATTCCACAGTTTAGCTATTGTGAATTGTGCTGCTATAAACATTGATGTGGCTGTATCATTGTATTATCCTTTGGGTAAAAACCAAGGAGTGGGACAGCTGGGTCTAATGGTGGCTTCATTCCAAATTTTTGAAGGATTCTCCATACTGCTTTCCAGATTGGCTGCACCAATTTGCAGTCCCACCAGCAATGTAAAAGCGTTCCTTCCCCCCCCACATCCTTGCCAACACTTATTGTTGTTTGTATTCTTAATAGTTTCCATTCTGACTGGAATGAGATGAAATCAGAGAGTAGTTTTGATTTGCATTTCTCTAATTGCTAGAGATGCTGAATGTTTTTTCATATATTTGTGACTGTATATAATTTCTGAGAATTGTCTGTTCATTTCCTTGGCCCATTTATTAATTTTTTTTTGGTGTTAAGTTTTTGAGTTCTGTATATATCCTAATGATTAGTGTTCTATCTAATGTGTGTGTGGTAAAAATTTGCTCCCATTATATAGGCTCTCTTCACCTTACTGTTTCTTTTTAATAAGAAGCTTTTCAGTTTGAATCCATCACATTTATTGATTCTTGATTTTATTTCTTGTACTATAGGAGACTTGTTGAAGTCAGGGCCTAATTCGACATCATGAAGATTTGGGCCAACTTTTTCTTCTAGTAGGCACAGGGTCTCTGGTTTAATTCCTAGGTCCTTGATGCACTTTGAGTTGAATTTTGTAGAATTTCATTTTGCTGCATATGGATTTCCAGTTTTCCCAGCACCATTGGGTGAAGAAGCTATCTTCAATATGTTTTTGGCACCTTTGTCTAGTATAACTATTTATATGGGTTTGCCTCTGTTCCTCTATTCTGTGCCACTGGTCTACAAGTCTATTTTGGTGCCAATACCATGCTGTTTTTGTTACTATAGCTCTGTAGTATAGTTTAAGATCTGGTACAGTGATGCCACCTGCTTCACTCTTCCTGCTAAGGATTGCTTTGTCTATTCTGGGTCTCTTTATTTTTCCAGATGAATTTCATGATGAGTTTTATATTTCTATGATAGATGTTATTGGAATTTTGATTGGAATTGCTTTACATCTTTAGGTAGTATGGTCATTTTGACAATATGAATCTGCCTATTCAAGAACTAGGGAGATATTTCCATCTTCTAAGGTCTTCTTTAATTTCTTTCTTTAGTGTTCTGCAGTTTTCATTGTAGAGGTCTTTCACCTATTTCATTAAGTTGATTCTCCAGTATTTTATTTCTGTTGAGGCTATTGTAAATGGGGTAGTTTTCCTCATTTATCTTTCAGAGGATTTGTCACTGATATATAGAAATACCTTTGGTTTATGGGTATTGATTTTGTATCCTGTTACTTTGCTGAATTCATTTATTAGTTCTAGACGTTTTCTGGTGGAATTTTTGGGATCCCCTAATTATAGAATTATGTTGTCATCAAATAGTGATAGTTTGAGTTCTTCTTTTTCTACTTGTGTCCCTTTATTTTCTTTCATCCATTGTTGGGAGCTGCTGTGGAAATACACACCCTTAAGTCCTGAGCAAGAGAACTGAACAATGATTGCACCCAGCAATAACTTGGGCTTTTTCTCCACTAGGATAATGAGGCTGGGCTCCAGGAGTTGGCTTCACCTGGTGAGGTTGAGCTCCACTCACCTGTTCCTTTGTAATTCTACCCCATTGCCCTTTTGGGGATAGAATGTTCCAAGGAACCTCTCCTTGTGTGTCCCCTATATAAGAATGAAGAATTCCAGTGGCTCTCTCTCTTTTTCTTTCCATGGACCCCTAAGTTCGGAGAGCCATCCAGGATTTTGAAAGGGTACTTCTGTGTGTTTTCATGGTTTCTTTGCTGTTTTCTTAAGTTATTGGAATAGTCAGATTTGTGAACTGAGCATTAGGTCACCAGCTGGGACAGATGGTGATAAATGGAGGCCTCACTGGGATGTTTAAGGTAGTTGATAAAATGCATAGGTCAAAGTGCATCCCTCACTCATAAGCACGCTTTTTATGACTTATTGTGAAACTAATGTGGATTTTTTTGTGGTTTGAAATGTTTTGGATAAGAATTTTTAAATTTATGTACTGGAAATTTAATATTTAGAGAATGAAGGGAGAGAGGAGAGATTGTTTTATTTGCGGGATG